ATATATATATCAAACAAGCCAACAAAACAAAATCACGTCTTTCGTCAAATAATTTCTAGTTTAATTCTTCAATCAATGATTGACCACTATAATTGTTATAGTCGAAATGATTTAAAATTATTCTTGCCGGTCTTTTTTGAAGTTTTGTTAATATATTTTTATTTTTCTTTGATGTATTTCCCCAAACTGAGATCACGTAATCAATGGTTTAATTAGTTGTATATAGTTTTCCCAATAGAGATTTATTGAGGGTTTTTGCCAATTTACCTAACATATGGATTTTATAGCTAACAATACGTACAAATATTATGATAAATAGCTACAAATAAAATATATTAAATAAGAAAATAAACATCAAAAGCATACAAATACATAGAAATAAGATAAGTTTATAAAGATACAAACGAATAGAATAAGATAATACAGATATATAAACTATAATGATGCAAGTTCATACAAATGTTATGATAAATAACCAGAAAAATATAAAGACATCTAAGGCATACATCATATGATAAGTAGGCCTAAAATGGTATACAAGAATAAAGTAAGATAAGACATAAAAGCATCTACTGTACCTTATTTATTAAATACAATCATAAAACAGACGCCGAATAACGAGGCTCTACACACAATGCAACACACTACACATACTGCTATTTAAACTGCGAGCATGGTGTTCCATAGAAATCGCCAGCGGCCGAAGTACTCATTAATCCGCCTTTTAGGGGGGGGGGGGCTGTATCTTGACATTATTTAAAGTAAGGAAATCCACATTAACCTGTGATGAATATTCTCATACTTCTACATAATATAATAGTTTGCAAGGTAATTAGAGCAATGATGGAGGTATAATGGGGCCCGAACATGTTTGCAGGACCATTGACCCCAAAAATAGGCCGCTACTTCGACCGACTGGATGACCCCGTGGACACCTAATATTATGAAATTTATACAGAAGTTTCTTTTATTTGGAAGACCACTTTGCATTCTTCAGGTATCTCATAGTTGGAAAGATACAATTGAACACCTTGAGCGGTATTATCAGTTATGGTGACATGTTTACGCGACATCCACAGGGCCTCTCTGATGGACATCATATGCTTCAACCCCTTGACGGATGATTATCAGCAGAAGTAATCTGGAGAGGATGACGCAGAATTTGAAGATTTATGGAAGAACGTTATAGGACCTGGAGGACGTCAGGCCGAACCTTGAGTCCATATAAACAAATCTCCTACAGGCTTACTGGCG